TTGCTTTCCCCCAGAGATATGACAGTGAAAGCTGGATCTATTTGAGTGACATGATGTATTTTTGGATGAGTTGACTTTGTCAATAGGTCAAGGTATATTTGGGGAAAATAAAATAAATGGGAAGAAGATAAGTTGGGTTATCAGTTCTAAGGATCCTGGCTGTTAGCTGTGAGCAAAGTAAGCTCAATAACAAAATCAAATAAGTCATTTTCCCTGGGACTCATTTACTCATCGTCCCCAAATTTAAACAGGGTTTTAAAACTATTTTTATCTTTCAATATGATAGACCCCTTTTACAGGCATTTAAATTGCAATAGTTTTTACAACTCCAGTTGTGCATTGTTAAAAAAAAAAATCCACAATGGTCAAGAAATGCTGACAGGCCTGTTACAAAACCTGAACAGGACTTACTAGTGACTTCCTAGCCATTCTTCTTTACCGGTACTTTACAAGTATGGATATAAGGGTTTGTAAAATAAGCCCAGTTGTTATTTTGTTTATTTTTTTAAAAAGTGTGGCTTTGTGGCACAATTTCTATGATAAAGTCATTCATAATTTGGCATTTAATATCTGGCATTTTTAAAAAAAGGATGTATAGACCATTCAGGATACTTTTACTTTATTGTTACCATTTAATCATATTCCAGGCTGTGTTTGCTGGTGAGTACTGTAATATAATTATAATAATTTAATATAGGGAAATGGGCAAAGGGATTAAATGGCCAGTTCTAATCTAAAAAAAAAAAAATATAGAAAATAGACTACTACTAATACTACTACCTTTCTGGGCTGCTGTTTCAACTGACTTGAAAGCCACACTTTTCATTGTGGTGATTTTACTTAATTCTGGGTGTAATTTAATCTTGTGATGCCCTTCTTTGCTTTTAACTTTGTTGTTGTTGGAGATGCCATTGGTATTATCAGGCATGTCTGCCGCCTCATCCTCATCACTGACGTCTTCATAGTTTTCTGATGCTTTTGGGAGACGTTTGCCCTAAAATAAAACAAAATCTAATTCAATCCATTGTCATTTCTTATAGGCCTAGATACTGATTTAATTTTTGATGTTCGCTGCCACAGTAACTGTAATATAAAATTTGAGGCCAGGACCAGAGTCCAAAATGTTTTGCATCAGTTTCTTTTGGTCATCCGCAAGATAAATTGTCTCAAAATTTAGTCATAAAAGTTTGATTTATCAATCTCAGTTGTCTGGTAGTGAGGGCTCTAATTCATGAGTGGCCAAAAGACAGTTTATTTTACGAAACAAAACAAATTTACAGAGTCCTAAAATAATAAAAACAGTTAAAACCTTGATGATTATTTTGTTCTTCAGTTTCTCGGGGGTGGGTGTTTCTATCAGGTCATCATCTTTCCGCCATATCTTTTCTGTACATTTATAGTTAAGGTGGAAAAAACAATAAATAAATAGAGAAATACATGATGGAGTGTTATGGCCGGTCCCAGATCAAGACAAAATGACAATCACATCACAGTTGAAATGAGCAGATAGGTGGCAGACCTAATTAACTAATTATCAGTTATCTTTAAAAAATATTACCTTCACATATTTTGGGAAAAAAAAGGACACAACTACATCTCCTCATATTGAGGGTGATGAATATGGTCAATGAATTAGTAATTATCAAAGTAAGGATACCACCGAATGTCAAGTTCATTACGTTAGCCATGACTTGCTGTTGTTGAAGAGAACAATGATTTTCTATGGATAACGTGACTGGATATCTGAAAATATTCATATTATAAATTTGTTTGTTCCTCTATTTAACTATTATGTAAATATTATGTAAATATAAATTAATTTTGATAGAATAATTTATTAATAATTGGCATGAGATTAAAACTTGGTATCAATTTTTTTTTCTGGTACAGCTCTTCACAAACCAGAGATTTTTAAAAAGCATTAGCGCATCTCAAACCAAATTACAGAAGCCGAAATACTTCTCCCCTATGAAATTAATAGAAAGTTTCTGTTGTTATGTTGTTAGAAAATATGATTTACATGTTTGTTCTCAACCTGTGGGTCGTGTCCCTTTTTGGGGTCACACGACCCTTTCACAGGGGTCACCTAAGACCATCTGAAAACACACCTACTCTACAGTAATAAAGTATCAACGAAAATAATTTTGTGTTGGGGGTCGCCACAATTGAGGAGCTGTTTTAAAGGGTCACAGCATTAGAAAGGTTGAGAACCACTGGTTTAAGGTAAGGTGTTTTTCATAAGAGTATTTTATGCAACATCGTATTTTCTTCTATCCTTTCCTCTCCTTTCCTCTTGTTGTCTATTTTAATTAGTCCTCTCAATTTCTCTTTGCAAAAATCGCATCTAAATGACATAATATTAATATGTAGCTGATATCAATTCCAAAAAGTTTAAAGATTGATCAAAGGTCAGCTTACGGAGATGTTTTGAAGGCATATTCATTGATGGCCTTGATGACATCTCGGAAGAGTATTTTTGTGGTGAGAGTGTAACCATGGTAGATGATTGGATCATTTTCTGGTCCATCCCAACAGTCCACTGAAAGCATGGCAGAGACATAACCATTTAAAGGGAGAACACACAAGACACATAAGTAATTTAAGAAAAATAAAACCCTAAATTGGTAATTCTCTCAATTGCTACATCTGCCGGAATCTCTTTTTATTAACCAGTAATGAATAAATACATGTCTTTTGTAGGATCTCCAAAACAAATTCAACACTTCAACTAAAAATAACCCTCCCTTCATTAAAAAAAGACTAACTTATCAAGGTGGCGGGAACAAGGTGTAAAAAAAGGAAACACTGAGGTATATTTATTGCTACATTAAGACATAGACCTGAAAATTATAATAATAAAGTTTGTATTTTTTAAAAATTGTTTAGTTATTCAGACTGCAATGAGCCAGCTACTTATTGATACACAAAACTTAGTACTATTAAACTAAAATAACTTTAAAGTGCTACAAATTATGAAATTTAAGCAAAATAAGAATATTTATTGTGACATATTATAAATCTTTAAAAAGACTGCTTTAAGGCAAAAATCCCACCAGCAAATTTTCATATTTCAACCATATGAATAGTCCCACACTTCACACAAAGACAACCAAAAAAAAAACCAATTCATTTATTAACCAATGTAGCGTCCCATCACATTACTTCTCCTGTTTGCTAAAAATGGCAGATGTATAGACCTACCTACAATTAATAAAAAATATATATTTATAAAGCCTTCATGTGTAAGTCTATCATAACATTATCATCTATCTTCAACTTTAAGGCTAAAGAAAATAGGCCTATGCCATAAAATTATTTTTTTGTGTTGGTCAAATGCATAAATTTAAAAAATACAGAAAATTCAAAAGCTAAAAAAAATAAGGTTAACAAATAAAACAAACTTCAAATATATATACTATCTAAATTTTGATCAGTATATCTATATAATGGTTATTTATTATGAATACTTTTATAAATATGCAACAAAAGTTTATAAAAATGTGTTTAAAAAAAAATTGAACTTGGTTGTTCTTAAGTTACTCTGCTAAGTTTTTTAATTCTCCTTCATTTATAAAAAGCACTGTGGTACAGTACTAATACATCACTAATTGAGTGCAGTGTTAGTGAAGCAGCTATGAGAGGCCTAAGCTGGAAAATGATATATTATTTAAAAATAAATCTGACCACATTGCCAAACAACAGAGTTATACCAAATGAGAATTTACAATATAAACGTTACTTACACTTTATTTCAATTATACATTGTTTTTGACATATTACAAATTCTAAAATGGACCCTCATTTGATATTTCATTATTTAACACTCTAACCCCAATACAGCTATTGTTTAATAAAATATTTTGTACAGACGCTTTTTTCTTTTTTACATTTTATTATTGTTGTACCATCATTCATTTTGTTTGCTCTCTGCTTTGAACTTACAAATAGAGTGAAGAAATATATTATTTAAAATCTCATATATACATTTTTGACTATTCACCATGTTTTGGCTTATCAAATTATGCATGTTCAGAAATTATTGCAAAACCATTTTGTAAGAGGAAATGTTATTGGAATATAAGTTTGTTAATGTACGTTTTTTTTTAACAGAGGTTTGTTCAAATGAATGAAATAGAATAAAAAACCCAAATTAAAATCTTAAATGTTAAAATTTCCCTTATTTCTCATAAGCCTTTAATAACATTTGAAAACGTATTATAAAAATAAATAAATAAAAGTTTTGTTCTAAAAACATTTCCTCCTACAAATTGGTTTCATACAACTTTTCAGTTAACCTAAATTATGTTCATATAGATAGCAAACATAATTGAGCTTCCAGGAGCCCAAGCATGTGCCTATAATATTTTGTTATTACTCTTGGACATATTAAATTATTATCATTTAAAAAAAAGATTCTTTGCCATTTTTTAGCAACACTGTGTATTTATGAGTGAGAACAAATTATAAGAAACAGGCATGTATAAACAGGAAATACAAATTATGCCAGCATGCAGTGTCTTACATTCTAAACACCTGCATCCTTTCTTTAGTGCTGTAATGTACATTTCAACTTGGCTTGGTCCTGTCAGCTGATCATCCGAAAGGTAACTGTCATGTATGGGAAACAATGCAGAACAAGGGATGTAAGAAGAAGAAAAAAAGTTAAAGCTACTTATTTACATTTTCCAGAAGCAGTTTAAGGAAGTGTCAGGGGGTTTAATTCTTGATTGCATATTTAGGAGTGAATATTTAAAAAGAAATGGAAAATTCATTTAAAAATAATTTTAAAAATTAAGACAAAATGTTAGTAATTACTTTAAAATAACAAAAAAAAAAACAACAGCAGTTCTATTAAAATGAAATTATATTATTTGTTTCTTGTCATTTTTATTTCTGACTATTTTAAAAAAAAAAGGAAAAATTATTTAAAAAAAAATTTAAAAAATAAAAAAAAAATTTAATAAATAACTTAAAAAAAAAAAAAAAAAAAAACAACAGCAGTTCTATTAAAATGAAATTATATTATTTGTTTCTTGTCATTTTTATTTCTGACTATATTAATTCAAAATTCTGTTCATAAAATTCCTTCTAGTGATTTTATTCAAATGTTACCAAATTATTTATTTATGTTAATTTATAAGATAAAAAAAAAAGATTTTGAAAAAAAATCCATTGTGGGAGCTTAATACACAATAATAATTAATTACATCAGTGTATCCATCATTTAGTTTTACGAATTATGGGGTTGATGTAACCTAATTCTTGCCCTTTAAACAAATTATTAGTTCCATTTTTATACCCATTTTACTACTATTTTTTAAAAAATATTTGTTATGGAGTTATTGAAACAAACATTGTGCTGTTTGAAATGTTTTTGTTTTTTGAAATATAAACATGGAGTATAGATTAGATCACTCAGTGCTTATGTATAAGAAAAAGTTTGAGAGTTACTTGCAAGAAATGAAGAAATAAATAAGTTTTATCAATAGATAATTAAAAGTAAAATTTAAAAAATGCATTCAAAAGCCAGAATACAAATAAAATGAGTAAAAAATATTAATATATAAGTCTTAAAGAATGATATTAGGGAATAAATCAGAGATCTGTACATTAAGAAGCTTACAAAATTTATATATATTCTAAATTGTTTAGGAATATTGGAAACTTATGGTGATTGTTTTTTTTGCAGCAACTCTTAAATTAGATATTTAAATTAGAGTGTCAGTGACTGAACTTGGAGCTCTCCAGTATAAACAAAGCATGACATGTTAGTGGGGAGTGTGTTGTAGTTAATGCAAGTTAAGATAAGGCTATAAACATAGGAAAAAAAAAGTTATAAACACGGCACACTCAGTAACACTGTGTTCTGGGTCTTACACTCGACACAACGGCATCCTTTCTTGAGTGCACGTATGTACATTTCACTATTGCTAGATCCAAACAGTTGGTCACGGCTTAAATAACTGAGAATTTGAGAAGGAATCATTCAATATTTTTTTTATTAAAACCAGTGTGCAAGTTCTATCTCAGGGATGAGGGGGGTATTGTCTGGCTATCTGGTCTGGGTCCCTATAGTCATAGGGGCTGGGACATACAACTTTTAAAAGATCAGAAAATATTCTTAATTTAAAAAGACATCTTTACAAACAGTATTGAATAAACTTGGTTAGTTTCAACTTGATATTTTCATTACATTTCAATTTTACGTTTTTATACTTATGGCTGTGATTATTTTGTTTAAAAATCATGGGGGTCTCTGTCCACCTCTGAAAGACACTGCCTAGTACATAAATATGCAAATGGATTTTTAAAACAAGGAGTAAAGCTGATTAAAACCTTTTAGGAAAAAAAAAAGATATAGAGCAATATAATCAAAAGGAAACAAGATCAAAACACAAAGGCAATACATAATAACAATCTAATCTTAAATAGACTTTTCCAATGAGTGGAGTTATTTTTCTTGACTGATATTTGTTTTAATAATTTTATCATAGTATTTATTTTGATTTTAAAACCAGACTTTTTTTCAACAGTTTACGGCAGGGGTCCTCTAACTATGATCTGGCCCACCAGGGGTCCTTTATCCAGACCTGGCTAGCACCGAAAAATATGGAACCAGACAATGGTCATCTCATTTGCCCTTATGTTCCTTTGAAATACTAGTAAGTTTATGTTGGATATATCTTTTATCCATATTTAATGTTATTGTTTTTTCAAGGTTTTCACACAAGTGAGATATGTGCAGTGTGTATAGAATTAGTTGGTTTTTTTTTCTCCATACTATCGTCCAGCCTCCAACCCCCACCCCAAGGCTCTAAGGGACAATGCTCTGATCAGGCCCGCACCTGGGGGGGGGGGGGG